AGAATTTTAAAGGCTCATCTGTTTTCTCACTTCTAACTACTTTAACACAAATAATTTCTTTGGCCATAAAAAAATAATTAGCTGAAGATTTAATAAATGAAGTTGTTCTCATTACCAGTATCTCCTTCTCAGAATTAAAGGCAACAATGAAAGGCCTCCGGAAATCAATAACAGTCTTTCAGTGATACAGAAGTTACAAGCAAAAAGGGAACTAAAAAGCAAGACAAGAATGAACTATCAGAAAAGTTCTTGTCACAGAAATTGGAATCTGGACAGCCGCCCCCAGTCAGGTGGGCAACAGAAGTCCAAGGACCCACAGCCTGGGAAACTCCTCTTGGGCCAATGACTTTTTAAAATGCGTTCCACTTAGGTAAGGACCAAAGGAATCCCATAAGCATACTCTGAAACCATGTCTGATACTCTAATTCCCAAAAGACTATTCAGATCTATTCCTACTATTTAATTTTATTTTTAAAAAATCTAAGTCTTAGACTCCTAGGAAGTCTTTCCCAGAGACCAATACATATAAACAGAGAAAATACCTCTGAGCAGGGAATGTTTCCAATCTCCCTCTAAAATTAAACCGAAAAAGAGGTAGGTCCGTTTGTCCAGCTCCGTGGGGCCACGGTCTGCGCTCGCTCTGCACTAAGCCCCCACGATCCAATGCAGACGTCAATTTATCACCTCGCTCTGTTTGATTTTTATATTCCTTAAATTCTATTGTGGCAGGAAAGGGGCCAGCAAAAGATAAAGTAGAGCAGAACCCTGACAATTGCCTCTTCATCTGTGACTCCTTTTCTGAGTAACTGCAGGCCCAATTTTGATCTCCAAGTACGTCCCAGTAACAAAGCCAAACTCCTCCTCGCACACACAGGCCCCTGCACAACCTGGACACAATGCAGCCTTCGCTCATTACTGACCCTAACAGAGAGCATTACCTAAGCATTCCTGCCTGGGGGCTGCCAACCAGTAGGTCGAAAGAAAGACACAGAGAAAGCCGAGTGTGACATCCACTTTCCCACTTGAGTCCCTTTCTTTGGAAAGCTGGTCTGCTTCAAAAGGCAGAGCAGAAACATCCAGGGCCCTCTGAGCAGAAGGCTTCCCGGCTCAGCTGCTGACAGGCGCAGTCAGATGCTGAGAACAGCCCCAAGAGCAGCAGCGTGGTCCACCAGGCTCGGGGGAAGTCCAGAACAGCCCGGGGACACTGAAAAGCTTCACGTGAGGGAGGCCCTGCCGGACCCACCGAGCCGCCAAGCGCATGAAAGAAACAATATAAACTCGATTTACAAGTGGGATCCCTTCCAGAAGGCTTGATTATCCATTTGTCACCACAGTCCCGTTTTTCAGCCATCCCTTCTCTCAGAGTAAAGCCCAGCTACAGTGTTTGTTTGGAACAACTTCAGGAAAAACTCCGAACAAACCAGATCACAGAGGAATCACTTAAATAGGGAACAACAGATATATAAATAGACTCTCTGGGGCTGGGAAATATGTGGGTTGTCTGCTAACTTGCAGGAACACGGAGGACAATCAAACCCAGCTCTGGAGCACCCACGGCCATGGCGTTCCCCTGCTGGTGTCGGACAGCACAGGGTCCTCAATGTCCCAAGTGCCACCCTCCCATCCAACCAGTTGCTTTCCTTTGAGGGGAGCCACAAAAGTCATCCCCAGCCTCAGCGTTCATAAATCAGCTCTGCAGCCTCGCCGCCCTCAGTGCTTATTTGTTTTGGGTAATCAGAAGATAAAGTATTCCTCAGGGTGTCATAATGTAGGAGACAGATACTCAGTAAAACATCCAAGGTTTCAAATGAATGGCTGTTGGTCCCAAATGCCACTGTCAACTCCATTTTTTTTTAATTAGAAAAATGTGGCGTTTGACATCATGAAGGTGCAAGAACTAGTGGATAGAAAAGAATTTTCACTTTTTAAGTGGCTGCCTGACAGCATGGCTACACAGCCGATGATTCCGATGCAGACTTGCCCAACAACCAGAAATGCACTCATGAGTAAAATCACCCTGGCAAACCTACTCTGTGAAGACCATGTCCACAACTATCACTGAGGACCACACATTAGCCAGACATTCTTTCACTTAAGTGTACAGAAATAGTATTCGAGCTTCATGAGTTTTAGAGGCAGGGTGCTGCACGGGTACTCCTTTGTCAGGAAGTAAGTGCTCCACAGTCACGCCATCACCCCTCAGCTCCCAGCCCCCTTTCCTTTCCATGGACCATGTCTCGGCCTCAAAATTTTAAGAGATCCACCAAAAAAAGCAAAACTGTTTTTATTAATGTATTAAAGAGAAAAAAGTGCTCTTTGTGAATGTTTCATAACTAAAACTGACAATTAGCTAGAGGACTAAAATTAAGTTGCACCCTATGGAGGATAAATACTGATCATTCCAGACAGCTGTCAACCCACCCTAGTCCTGCTCGGGCGGACGTTGCTGGGCCACAGCCTGAAGGCCGGTGCTCAGAGCTTTATGACTGTCCTCTCCTCACCTAGCCCAGTGTCTGCACATAGAAGCTGGATAAAAGTTCACTGAATAAAGAAATCTGTCCTGAACCTATTTTTTAAATCACCTTTTCTGTAGCCAACACCATGCAGACTAATACCATTAAGATTATTATGTTAAAGAGCCTTTTTTGTTGGAAAAAAGAATAGGATTGGGATAAGGGATAGAAGAGGAAAAGGGAACTTTTAAAAGAAATAAATGAATCTAAAAACGAATTGATGGGCTGAGCACAGACCAGTGCCAATAGCATAGGATGCCAGGAGCTAAAGACCACAAGCAAATCGACTTTGGACATCCGTCTTTCAATAAATGTTTAAATTAAAACTCAAGCCCTTCCTTGAAACCCTAGCACCTCTCTGAACAATGTAGCTGACACCCCTCTATAAAGTCTTGGTTCTGGCCAACAGCTGGCAAGTTGATCCCTGCAATTTTCTCTTTGCAGAAATAGCTTTGTGAGAGGAGAAGGGACCCTCACAGGCTAATAAGCCCAAGCCCCGCCAGACCTGGAGGGCTGAGAGGAGGGACATTGTTGTGTTAAGTACTTCACAACTGTCTCTTGACACAGGCGACTTCCTTAGAGGAGGTCTGAGTGGCCAGACAGCTGTGTTGACCCTTCAGCCTTCTGTGATTCGTGGGGTTTTTTAACAAACAGAATAGAAATTCACATCCCAAATCCTTCCCTAAGCTCCGATACTTCTGAATCCGCTAGTGTTGTGCCTGAAGGATGTGGACACTTCAGTCATCTATAAGCAGAAAGATAAAGATGGGGCCTCACAATGCCAAGACCTCTAGATGAAAAGCAAGAGAAAAAAACAGAGCAATCAGCCAGGCGCTTTATCGGAGGCGCTACTCGAAGCTGTGTAGGCAGAATCTGTTACCTAAAAACTGTACTGAACTTACAGACAACTGCAGCCACAAACAGACGACCAAGATCAGAGATGAGCAGCCTTTCTCCGCGGCCACTTACTTCTCGTCTTCATACTTGCAGTAAAGCTCCTTGTGAACCACAGAGCCCTCTCCGGCAATGATCACAAGTTCTCACTTCCTTGCACATTTCTGTATTGTCCAACTCATCCAAAGTTGAGAATGCATTTTTTTAGGTCTTGGAAATGTAATGTTATTCTCCCATCAAAACAACAGCAAAAATGCCTCCGGTGCTCTCCAAATACGGTATAAAATCCAAGCATTTTATGGCAAAGGAACACTGCAGAGAACATTTCGTGTGGTTACCGATCTAGTCACTTTGCTAGGTTTTATTATGCTTCAGAGCCCAGGCGACAGGGAAGGAAGGCGCTCTGTCTGCTCTTTCTGGCTTTCTGTTTCACAGAGACCTCTCCATTGTGCGTTTTAAATAACAGTACAGGAGCTGCTTCTCAGGCACACAAGCTCTCCCTCCTCACCCCTTTTATTCACAGTAACAAATGCAGAATGCATGGGCACCCACAGTGGACATATACTAGTCCTGATGGACAAAAACAGAGCTCCATTTCAGCCATTATTCTTTTCTCCAAACTCTCCACAGCCCTGTGAAGCCAATGCCCCTATTGATCCATCATTTCTGTAGGGGGAAAAAAACACAGTTCCCTCTCCTCACTCCACGGAGCTCCTCCAGGTCTACCCAAGGGGAAGAATAAGAAACCCTCCCATCCTAGCCCCTTAGGCATTACAGAAATCTAGATTCCAGGTCATCACTGGCACTCTTAAATACCTGCCGGAACGTTCCCTGTGAGGCAGGGAACTGACCCAGTGCCAGGCGGAAAGCTGACCCAGACTGGAGCCACAGATGAGCCAAGGAGGGGGCTTCAGGTCAGGTCCCAAACTCTAGCCTCTGCATGGTGTTGGCTACAGAAAAGGTGAGTCCTTGGCCCTTGGGCCTCCAAGAAACCGGGAGGACGGGGAAGGAGGAAAAGCAAACCGCTTGTGTTCTCAGCTCAGAGGCTCAAAAGACCCATTTACAGTCGGGCTTTCTGGGCTCCATCGACAAATTCCACAGGAAAGTGCACAGGGGACAGAAACTTGAGGTGGACACAGCCTCATCTCCCCGCACAAGAGCAAGAGTAGCCGGGAGACCCGGGAAGGTGGGAACCACCAAGGAGACATGCGGGTTACTGCAGCCCGCAGGACACACCAGTGAACACGGAGACCATACTGGAAGGGTCAGAGGTCCACACAGAGTGGCCTCCAGGAATGGCCGGGTCGGGAAGTGACCTGGGAAGAGGCAAACCTAGGCGAGCAGACCAAAAATGGAAGCAGTCCCGCGTGCTTCTGCAGGGCTCTCCTGCTTCTGCAGGGCTCGGTCGGTCGGTAAATGTGCGCACTGGTGCAGATCCCTAATGCTAGCCGCAATTCTAGGTATGGGCGGGTGGGTGAGTACCTCTATGCCTTGCAGAGCAGGACAGGGATGAAAGGGGACAGAGTCCTCCGGCACGGATTCCAGGGCGAGGGGGGGGGAGGGGCGGGGTCGCCCAGCCTGCCGGCCACTTACTTCTCATAGTCATACTTGCAGTAAAGCTTCTTGTCGCGGTAGAAGCAGGTGGTCTCAAGGGGTTCTTTGCAGGAGGCGCACCGAACGCACTGCTCGTGCCAGAAGCTGTCGTTGAGCCGCAGCAGGAACCTGTCCGAGATGACCCGCTGACAGCCTTCGCAGACAGACTTGGGGCTCACCGCTCTGCCTGCAGCCGCAACAGACAGTCTCGGGTCAGCCGGACGGCCTGCCAACCCGACCAAGACCGGCTCCAGACCCACAGATTTCCTCCCACCCCTCGCTCTTCGCCCCAGAAAGCCCCCTAATAATCAGCCAAGTCAAGACTTGGAAAAATCAAACCCAGTGACAGTTCTAATAAACAGAGGCTATGTAGGAAGGTCTGAATTCTAGCAGGGGAGGGAGCGGACATCGGAAGTGGCCTTTAATTATCAAACAGACCCCGGTATATGCGCAATTAGGTTACAAATAAAATCGTGCTCCCAGGTTTATCTCGTAGTAATCTAGTCATTCAATCTCTGTTTGCATCTACTATTTTTAAAATGAAATTATTTTAAAACAGTTTTATTTTTTTTTTGTTAAAATGTAATTTTTTATTGAAGAAAAAAATCTTTTTTTTTTGAGGAAAAACTAAAATTCCTCGTTCTTCCTAAGTCTCGTGGGTACCGAAAAATACCATTTTGCCTGGGGCAAATTCGGTGTTGTTTAAACTAATGAGTCGCCAACTGCTACGTCATGGCTGTCGTGCAAATTGCAGATGGGTTTTTTCGTAAAAGTGTCAAAATAGAAGGGAGAGAAAAGCGCGCGAAGATGCCGCGGGGCCGGGGTACTTGGCTTCGGGCAGGCTCGGCAGCGCACCGGGAGCGCAGTCAGGGACTCCGGTCCTACCCCGGTCCTCTGGTGTTTCCTGGCTCCAGTTTGAGGGCCCGCAGTGCTTTTTTCCAGGAGTGAAGCTCGGCCGCCTTGGTTGGCACATTTGACAATTATTTAAAGAGGCCCTGTCCCTTCATAAGGACACCCTTGGGCTTGGTGTCCCAAAGGTCTGATCCTTCTCCCTTTCCCTGTTATATTCATCTCCATTTTCCCTTTAGGGACGGCCACCGACTTGTAAGCAGGGCGGTCGCTCTGGCGAAGGGTCGAAAGGGCTAAGAAGAGCTGCCAGAGAGCTCTCCATTTTCTTCCTGCCAGGTTTCGGGATCCCGCGCCACGATTCGGGCGCTGGGAGCGACCCGAGGCCCTGCGGAGGGACCGGGCGAAATGCGACGCCCACGGGGTACAGAAGTCCGCACGCGCTCGGGCCCGGGGCAGTGCGGGCCGGGCCTCGGTACCTCTGCGGGGCTGGCGGAGCTCCGCGTTTTCGAAAGGGAAGCCGAGGGGGCAGGCAGGGCGTGCGGCTTCGTGGGCCTGGCGGGGCGGGGGTCCTCTCCGGAGAGGCTTTCTCCCCCGAACCCACGTCCTCTGCCCTCTGCCCGCTCGGCAGCTCAGTCAGGGAAAGAGGCAAGAGGTTTAATAACAAAGGAAATATGCCCCGCTGATGAGCAAATAAATAAAACACCCTTCTCCTCGAAAAGCACGGGGCAGTGGGGAGACCCACAACCAGAATCCCTGCACCGAGGTCTGGACGCCCGCGTGCGTCACTCTCCCGAGTCCCTGCAGCCCTTTCTCTTCGTTGGCTCCCAGGGGTTGGGGGAGGAGCGGCCAGAGGAAACCCACCGGACCTGCGGTCTAGCTTCAGTTAATTAAAGCCGAGGCGAGGGCCCTGCAGCGCCGGCTAATCCCCGCGCTGCGCTGCCCACCGGCCCGGAAAAGCCTCTCGGCCATACCCAAGACTTAAAATTGGGGATGGAGTCGGTGCGGGTGGGAAGACGGCTCGAACTTGGGCGCTCGGGGCCCCGGACTACGGAAGCTCATACCGAGGCCTCCGAGAAGTGGTTGGCATTTATGAGCCGTCGATCAACTTCATGATTAAAAATCCAGCCCTGAGTATTTTTAATCACTTGCCACTCAAACGCCTGCGTGCAGACTCTCCCGCCCCCTGCGACTTTGGGGAATTCGGTGCCCGGGGCATGAGGCCCGGGAGGCTGGTGGGTTTTATTTAGGTTGGGGCGACTGGGAAGGACTGACAGGCAGATAGGGAGTGGGCTCCGCTGCGGGGATGGAAAAGACGCCAGCGCCCTGTGGCCTGCAGGTCACAGTCAGCTGGGACCAGAGCTCCGGCCGGCGGCAAGAGGGTGCGCTCAGGACAACCGCCTGAAAACTCACCTAGCAGCGAGGAGAAGGAGGCTGAGGTCTCGATGGCGCTTTGGAAATTCTCCTCCATCTTCAGGCCGTCCAGCATGTTCGAGCCGTGCCGGGAGGACCTGTAGAGGAGAGGAAAGGGCGCGCCTGGAGTCCGTGCCCGCTGGGATTCGGCGCCCGCAGTTGCCGCACTCCTGGGAGAGGACGGAGGGAGTGTCCAGGGCGACCAGAATGAGCCAGGAGGGTAGAGTCCAGCCAAGGGAAATGTGGGTGGGAGGAGAGAGACAAGTCACAGCGAACGGCTCCGACTGCTCTGATTCCGCTTGAAGTCAACGCATTATGTACTTAGGCCTCCGCCCCCAACTGCGTTCCTCCTTCTCCTGACCCCCGCCCCCCATCCTGTCCCCAGGTTTCGCATCCCGAGGCCGACTCCGCCCCGACCTGTAGTAAAGTGCGCCCAGGGGACGTCTCTGCAGGAACTCAGCTACCGGGTAATGAGATGAACTGAGGGGTGTCCTTCCTCGCGCGGCCGGCCCAGGCACGAGGGACCACGGAGTCTGCAGCCCGCGTCCCAGCCACCACGTATCGGCCCTCACCTGCCTGGGGTCGAAGGGAGGCAGAGGAAGGAACTCCGGGGTCGTCCCGCCTGCTTCCGTACTCCTGGCGCTGCGCTCTGCGTGGGGGCGCGCGGGAGTGGGCGCGCTGGGCGCGCGGGGAGGTCCTCCCGCCGGTCGGCCAGGGCCGGGAATGTCTGCAGGAGCGAAGGAGTCGCCTGGGGAGGAGCCGCGGCTGGCCCGGCTCGCTCTTGGATGCATTTCAAATCAACTTTCAGAAACACGCCCGCCCGCGCGAGTCTCGGAACCGGCCGTCTTCCTTACCTGATGGCAAGCTCGCTCCGGTGTCTGGAGCAGAGTGAAGTTGCGGATGCCGCGGGAAGCGTCTACGGAGGAAGGCGTCGCCACCCAGCTGCAGGCGGAGCAGCCGCCGGGCTGCGGCGCGCCGGCGAGAGAGCCGGAGCGAACGCCTGCCCTGGCCCAGCTCCTCCGCGCGCCCGGGCCGGGCCGGGACGTGGCCAGGAGCGGCCGGCCTTGTCGGGACGTCCGGCCAGCCCGCGCCTCTCTTCAGGAGCTGGGGAGGGCCGGATGCTTCTCCGAGGCAGGAGGGGAGGCGGAGGCCCAGGGTCCTGGGTGCAAGTCGGCCCTGCTTCTCTGGGGCGGATCCCGCGGCTTCTGACAGGGGCCGCGGCGCTGCGTGCGCGGCAGAGGGAAGGGGGTGGGGTGCGCAGGGCGGGGGGCTGGGAGCGCGTCCCGCGGCAGGCGGCCGGGCTCGGTTTCTCGGCCTGGCTGCGCGGCCCACCTCGTGGCCGTGGCCGCAGCGGGGTGCGCCCCTCTGCTGCTGTGACCTCCTGGGCACGCAAAGTTTCCTCCCCTCCACGTGTAACCGTTACCTTGGGGAGCCGGGCAGGGCCTTGGAGATCGCGCCTCCGGGCCGCGCGGCGGGCTGGTTACCGCGTCTTCAGTCAGCAAGTGACGGCCGGCCAGGGAAGCGCCCTGGACTCTGCCCGTGTGGTTACCGAGTTAGAACGGCTCCCCTGACCTTTCTTCCTCACGTAGGGGTCCCACGAGTTCCCAACTTACTTTCTGCTCAGAACCCATTCACTGTTTCACATGGAGACCGCTTCACCGATGGGATGCGCAAGAACCAGGGACCCCTGAGCAAACCAGGAAGAGGGCTCCCAGGAGAGACTCGGTGGGATCTGACCCCCAGAAGGTGTATTCAGAATGACAGGAATCATAGAAAGTCAGCTAATTCCCTGTACCTCCTGACTTTAGCTTACCATGACGACTCTTCTGCATCTCTAGGAGCAGGAGTGAGGTCTTATGGATCCCAGGAAGGGCCTGGCCCCAAGCCGCTCAGTAAATAGCTGATAGCATACTAACAGCTATTGAACATTTTGCAGAAACGGGATTACACAGTCAAATCATTTGATCTTTGGGGCAGCCCTAGGAGTTGGAGAAAGCTATTGTCTCAACATTACAGGTGGAAGTAATAGGGCAGAGTGGGTCCAACCCCTGTCCAGAGCCCTGAATACCCCAGGCAGGTCCAGTGCAATGGGATTCTCTGGGGCCTCCTCAGCTCCTGAACTCCACTGAGAGTTGGCAGACTTGTGAACCCAAGCAAAGGACAAGCCACATAGCAAGGGTTCTCCACTACCTTCTCCAAGGAAGAAGCCTTTCCTTTTGCTTTGTTTTGTTGTCGTTGTTGTTGTTGTTACAGTACTGGTAGCAAGTTGCTCTCAGGTGCTTAGGAGCAGTGACCCCCCCCCCACCCCCGCCGGCCATTATAAGTGCTTTCCACCAAGTACACAAGCCAACCACGGAATATGACTTCAGAAAAGCAAGGGGAAAGGGCAAGGTTAGCACCTTGTATTTGAAGGCTGCTTTCTCACACAGGATTTTGCTTGATCTCTACAACAAACCTGTGAGGTAAGCAGAACAAATAGTTTTATCTATTGTTTCAGATGAATCTTTGGGGCGTAGTATGGCTGGGAGATTTCTCTCCTGTTGCTCAGACAGCTGGCAAGTGGCATGTCTCCTAACACCCGACCTCTGTGCCTTCTGCCCCCCAGATAGAGCAGGCTTGGATATACCATGGACAATAGATATGTGGAGCGTATAATACAAGCGTGCCTTTATATAATCATGGATGTTCTTAAGGTAATGTATAAAAAGTTGACAAAAAAGAAATGGAATACAGCAAATATAACCATAAGGAATATTTTCAAATGCCCAACAGAGCTTTGGTCTCACTAACGCTTTTGATGACAAAGTATGTTTAACTAGTGGTAAAAAAAAATGTCCTCAGTGAGTGTCCTGAAAGTGGACAGATTGTCACTTGATCTGAGACCAAAATCTTTCCAGAGGTTCTCCTCGGGAAGACGTGCGCAGTGGGCATGTGCTTCCCAGAGGCTCGGCCACTTCAGAGGGGGGACTGTGTTTCCTGATCACATTCCAGGCCCAGCTCTTCTCCATGCAGAGGGAGGCGCAGATGTGATTGACAGTGGGACTGCTTGGCAAGGGGGTGGGGCTTGGCAGCTCAGCAGTCAGGAAGCATGAGGGTCAGGACTCAGCCTGGGCTCCATTTCCAGCTCTGCCACTGGGTGCAGCCATCAGTTCCCCTCTGAGGAGACCAGGGCCTCCTGTCACTCTGTGTAAGGCCCCCGTCCAAGGTCTATGAAAGCAGATTGACTGGCCTCGGCCAGCACAGTGGACAACACCAGCACATCTTTGGAGTGTGCCACATGGTGTTTGCCAGTGTAGACCTGGCTGTGTGTCTAGACCAACACCCGACTTCTTTATTTGGCATTTCCTCATGTGAGTTGGAATCTACCAAGGCTTGGCAAGGACAGTGGGTGGGAGGACAAGTGAACCATCCCGTCCACGCCTCATGCATTTCCATTGTAGATTCAAAGGTGATGTTTTACCTCTTTAATTAAAGAAGATCTTGCAGAGTCACCACTGTCCCGAAGGCCTTCATGAGGAATGAGCCCCATCCTCCCTCTTGCCAAAAAGAATTTCCTCTGAGAAGGCTTGGGTGAGTGGGCGGGCGCAGAAGGGACCCCGGATGGCATACTGCTGGAGGCAAAGCACTCCTCAAGCTGGCCTGGTCCAACCCTTTAGCTTGTCTGGGGCCAGAATCCATCTTGCTACAGCTGCTGCCCTCTGGTCCATGGAGATCTCTGGGCTGGCCTTTCAGAGAGTCGGGTCCTGCTTCAGAGGCCTTCAGACCAGGGCAGAGCTGCCCACACTGTCCTGTCCACTCTTCTCTGAACCTGATCCAGGCTTTCTATGCCCCTCATACACAAGGGCACCCAGACCTGTGGTCACTTGCCAGGGATGGTGTGTTGAGGGCCTCATTTCCTTCTTGGGAGACAAAACACCCATTAACCTAGTCTTGTGCCACCACTTTAAATGGCTGCTGTTGGTTCATATGGTTACATAACTAACAAAACCTCCTCAGTACCTTTCTGCCTGGGCTGCCGGTGGGCATCTCTCTGCCATGGTGCATTTGTGCAACCGTGTTTGGACGCAACTGGAAATAGGCAGTTATCCCCACTAAGAGATAGGTGGCCATTATAAACGGAAGGGAAGCTTGCAACTTCAGCAGATCCCAAGAGACCCGGGGATCGCATCTTCACCTGGGCCTTAGCTCTGAGGAGGAAACATGGCACCCTTGCCAGGCTGGTCCAGAAGCTGCCCTTGTTGAGGGGAGAAGGGCATGTGCCCATGCATAGGATCCTCGGGGCTCCGTGCGAAGCCTTGCAGCCTGGGGCTCTTCCCCGGCTGGGAGCTTCCCCTGATCCTCATTCTTGCCCATCATCTGTTGTCAAACAGCTACTCACGATGGGGGTGTGACGCGCAGGAGACAGAGAAGCCAACACTCAGACTCCCGAAGCCAAGGTCTGGAGAGAGGAGTGAAGATGGAGGAGCTGGAGGCTGATATTTGGAGGGAGGCAAGAAGAGAGGGAGGGGACAGACGTCCTGCGGCAGAGTGGAGATGACAGGAACACGTTTTTCTACTTTCCTTTTCTTGCTCTCATTTCTGTGTCTTATTAAGGGAAACACAAAGGGAAAATTGTGTTATTTGTTAAAAAATGTCAAAGTGCATTTTGAGCAAGAGGAAAAGAAGCAGAATCACTGCTGCCTGGATGGGGACGGCAGGGCTCTGGCAGGGACGGCCAGGGCCTGGGGGTGGGGGACACGCTTGCTACACACTCCCCTGGCCTCTGGATGCTGCTCCCGGGAACCCCTGGTCCTCACTTAGACCTGGAGGACCAGCTCACATGTTCTGGGCCAAGGATGTCCCAAACCAGCAGTTAGGAAAAGGCAGTGCAGGTGGATCGCTCTCCAGTTACGGGCAGCGTTCTCCTCCCAGCACAGACGCAAGCCCTAGACAGGAGAGATGCTCACAAAGTGCCCTTTACACTGCACAGTCTCCCGACCTGCAGTAGAGTCACCGATATGCCCCCTTCATCCCCCGCACACTGTGAGCTTGTAAGCCAAGCCGTCAAGCCAGACTCACCTGGGATCCCCCAGGGCGCAGCTCAGGGCTGCACGTACCAGAGACATCCAAGTACCGGCCTGACTTCTGGTCTGCTGGCAGGATGGGGGAGTTCAGGGAGGAGCGTGGGTGTGCCCAGCTCTGTAGTCAGCGAGCTGTTTGACCTGAACTGTTCAACCTCTGCACGGGTCACTTCCTTACCTCTCTGAGGAGAGGCCTAAGGCATTGCCGAGAGTCGTGGTGGCAGAACAGACAAGGGATATGGAGCAAGGAGCAATCCATCTGGTCCACTCGCGGTTCAGCACCTTCCTTGGCTCCCACGCACCCTCCCATGCAGGAGCAGAGTGGCTGCAGCTTGCCCAGGTCTCAGGCACCACATGCAGGCGAGGCTGGAGTCCGAGGATAGCAGCCGTCACTGGAGCCGGGGTGATTGGTGCCCAGGCAGGCTGTGCCCTACAGACTGAGGGGACATTGCAGCCAGTTAGGACGGTGGGCCCTGGGCTCAGGCTGACCCAGAACTGACGCTTGACACTAGTACTTTCTGTAGCCTGAGTCAAGCTCCTTGGTCCACCTGGTCTGTCTCTCCATCTGGTACCTGAGGACATTACGGAGGCATTTTTGTGTGTGTTAAATGGAATAATACATGAAATATGCTGGCACTGTGACAGGGACATAGTAAGGGCCCGAGGGCTTCACCTGCTGGACCAGATGAGCACCCAGAGCAGGGCTGGTCTACATCTGTAGCCCAGGACTCGCCCTCGGGCTCCCATGGTCAGAGGATGTACCTGAATTGGACTGAACTGACCTGAACTGGAAACGGCCCTTGGCACGGGGTCTCATCTTGCTCTGGGTTCCAGGCACCAGCCAAAATGACACATTTGAACACTCCCAGGTGCTCCCTAACAAGTCCAGAGAGCAGCTGCCACAGAAGCCGCTGCTGGGCTCCTCAGACCCTGCCTCTGGCATCTGCATGTGATATTTCACACCAAACACCAGAAACCTGGAAATGGGGGCAGGGCACAGAGAATGAACTCCAGGCACCAGGACAGGGAGGTCTGCGCAGAGGGATGCACAGTCCCTTCCACCAGCCTCAGTGGCTGCGCAGGGGACGCCCAGCTGGGTGAAGCCTGGTGCATCCCTGGGGTGTCATGTGACGGGATCTGCAGTGGCCCTAACCCAGCTCTGGACTGTCCCCAAGGCCCACATGTGGGGAGGGTGGAGGTCTTTGGGCCACTAGGGTGTGCCTGGGGGATCCCCTCTCCACCCTTGTGTCTCGGCCAGGAGGTGAGTGGTTCTGCAGGGGCCTGTTCCCACCTTGAGCTGCTCTCTCATCGCAGACCTAAAAGCCACAGGGCCAACCACTCATGGTCTGGAACCTCTAAGACTGAGCCAGGAAAGACTTTCTCACTCCAGTTGATCATGCAAGTGTTTGCTGCAGCAATGGGAAGCCGGGTACCCCAGCAGCTAGAAGAAGCCTCAGAGGAGCCCTGTCTGCGGCAGAAGCAGCCACAGGAAAAGAGTGTTGGCTACGGGAGGGCAGAGACCCTCACTGGCAGCAGTGAGACCCCAACTTCTCCAGACGCCTCCAGGAAGGCAGGACCTGTCCAAGAACACAGGCTCGACCCCCAAAAGGATACCCACTGCACCCCGAGGATCCACCTGTTCAAGTGTTACCTTGATGACATGCCTCACCTAGGATTCGAGGTGATCTGTGACTACCATCAACTCTGAAATGGATTATTTTTAAAATTAAAATTAGCTGGGCATGATGGGGCACGCCTGTAATCCCAGTGGCTCAGGAGGCTGAGGCAGGAGGATCATGAGTTCCAAGCCAGCCTCAGCAAAAGTAAGGCACTAAGCAACTCAGTGAGACTTTGTCTCTAAATAAAATACAAAATGGGGATGTGGCTCAGGGGTAGAGTTCCCTTGAGTTCAATCCCCCCAAATCAAAATTATATACTGAGAAGAGCAAAGCAAATCACCCCTAAAATAATAACCTGAGGCTAATATCTGAATTGTAATAGGATGTTAAATGTCACCGTGGGTTTACAAGGTGAGACAGAAAAAAAAAATTGAATCCTACCAACTTCTCACAAGGGCATCAAACTGCACTCCAGTTGCACTTTCTGGCTACGGGAGACAGTCTACGAAAAAGAACAAGGACACAAGCGAGCTGAGGCTAGGGAGTGGGGACCCGTGGCCTCGTTGACAGTGTCTGAATATTCTTACTTTGACACAGTGACTGTAGCTCACCTCTGCTGAAAAGAATCTTAGCAAACAGGAAACTAATGACATTTAACAAGTTAATAAGCCAGAACTACAAAATGAAGGGGACAGAAAACAGGTAACGCTGAGAGGTCGAATATCAGAGCTAATAGTCGAACTTGAAGGCAAAAATCAGGGTGACCCGGTTTTGTCTGACAGCACTGAGTGCACACTGGGCACCTGCCATATGGACATGTGAAGGAGCAAATGAATGCTGTGATCAAGATTCAAATCTGCCTCTGAGCTTCCCAGTAGCTAGGACAAAAAAGGAAACCCCCAGGCAGCAGGTCTCTACACAATACTGGAGTTGTGACTGGGGCTTGTTTGAATGAGCACAAAGGGGAGTTTGCCCCCCTCCTCAGAGCCCAAGGCCCTGCACCCATGCGGTGACCAGTGAATCCCTGCAACCTCCTCCGTCCCAACCCAGGGCAGAGTGCCTTGTGCAAAATACATATTTGCTGTATGAATATATTAATAAGGTCACTGCTCATCTGGATCAGGATTCCGTTTCTTATTTTCTCATCACATCAATAACTTACTTCAACCCTTTTGAACATGGAAGTCGAGGGGTGTGGGGCAGCAGGGAGTAGGTGGGGTGGAGGAGACTCTCCAGTGGAGGCCAGGGATGGAGCAGGACCAAGGGCGCAGCCAGGGAGAGGGGCAGGTGCTGCGAACAGGAGGAACAGGAGGAAGTGGGGCAGCGGGTCTGAAGGCCAGAACTCTGGGGTCCAGCGCTCCGCTGGCGGAGAGAGCCCTGGGAGTCTGGGTTTCGGGTGGCAGAACCATGTCTAGGTGACTTGGGGGGGGCAGGGGTCTCCTGGAGGCCGAGGAACCCAGAGGAAGCAGGAGGGAGGGAGGGCTCTGGACTGTCCCTCAGTGTGAGTGGAATCCAGGCTGAAGGGAGAGGCGCCAGGCACCGGCACAGCTGTCCCCTAGGCGGGGAGGAGAGGGAAAGGACTTGGGACAGTAGCAGAACAGAGATTGGGGGGGGAGAGCAGGATGGGGCGCAGTGAGGAGCTTGGTGACTTTTCCAGTGTGTTCACAGCCATTATCTCATTGATTCCGTATGCAGTGAGAGACCCACCCTGGTGTCAGCCCAACTGCTCTGCCCCCCCACCCGGGAACGGCCAAGGCTTGGCAGCCACACCTTGAGGCCATCTTTGCTGCAGGAGGCTCACCTGCGGGTGCCTGCCCACACCCAGCAGCGCCAGCCCGTGCCCTGGCGCCCCATCCTGGGTCTCGGTAGCCCAGCTGCCACACTCGCCAGGAACAGGGATGGGTGTGGCCCAGAGTTCAGCCAGAGTCTCCCAGAACATCTGGGCAGGGTGGGGGAGCAGGGCCATCGAGCTTCTCAGTGTCTCATCTTTCTCCCCACGGGGGGCGCTGGTTCCTCCTCGGACTCGCTCCAGGCCGCCCCTTCTCCCCAGCAGCTGGCAGATGGCACTTCTCACCCCTTACTGCAGCATGCACCCACATAAGGAGAGCAGCAGCGACCGTCACCAGCCCCGGGTGCACAGCCAGGCCAACCCCCCCTCAGGGAAGGGCTCCAGGCTGCAGCCCCACCGCGCAGCAGACACCGGCCAGTACTCCAGCAGACCAGTGCCCCTCTCCGTGGACTCCAGGCCCTCCACCCTGACCCCCAGCAGGGACGTTCCCGAGCCCTCTCCTGCTTGGGCACAGGCTGTGTCCCTGGCCCCCCTCCTGCCCATGGTAGTTGGCACTTTCTGTGCTTCCTTTGAGCACCTCCAGCCTCACTGTGTGCCCGCCTCCTGCGCCCGTCTGCAACCCAGGAGCTGCAGGGTCAGGCCTGGCAACAGAGCACCGAGGGCAGGGAAAGGTGGTCAACGAAAGGGAGGTTCCTGAGTGCCCTGCTGGCCCTGCCCGGCGCTGCCCTGCCCAGCTCTCCCGCAAGTCCACGCCAGGTGAGGGGCTCCGAGCCCTCCTTCCAGGCGACACTCCCGTGCGGGTTCGCCCCAGTCCCTACAGAGCCTTCTGCTGTCCAGGGAAGCACCAAGGCAGCGCTTCCCGTCCCCCGTTATACTCAGAACGCAGCACTGTCCAAAACGGTTTCATGTGTTTTTCACAAAAGGCCATGTAAATCCTTCTGAGGTCTTCATACCCATCCTCTCTCCATTTAAATCCCCATCTCATGAGTTTAATTCTCCGTGAAAATAAGGAAATTGTGTGTTTAGTGGAGACGGCGGCGCAGTGCAGCTTGTTCAGAATCGACGGCGTTCCTGGGAAGGCACATACAAGCCACATGCCACCAACCAGCCTGATCCAGGGCTTCGAGGGGTTTGCATCCAGAGACCTGCGGGACCAGGGTCAGGTTTGCCAGCCCCTGACAAACTCCACAAGTCTCTGTCCACCGAGGGAAAGGACAACTCTTTAGGGCAGAGTCTCTCCCACAGAAACCCCTCGAACCAGAAAGAGGGCAACGGCTCTAGCCCAAGGCGCCTTTTGGGCCTGGGAGGTGCATCCTCCGGCGCTTGCGCAGCCTTGGGAAGTGGCGAGGTAGGAGGAAGCGGGCTCAGGACTGCACTCGCAAGCCCACCTCCGCAGGCTCACTGCCCGAGGGCTTCTGTCAGGGTCTGGCAGCAACAGCCGCGCCACACCCAGCCCCGTGCCAGCGTGCGCACACCCTGCAAACTGAGACTGGCTTTTACAGTCTAAAAATTTTAAAAATCAAAAGGAAAATCATACTTCAGGACAAGTGAAAACTATACAAGATTTCAATCTCCGCATCCTGAAAGGTTTTGTCGGAATACGGTCACACTCGGGTTGAGTCACTGTCTAAGGCTACATGAGCACCGTGGGAAGATGCAATTCTAGGGTCAAAACCCAAGATATCTGGTATCTGGCACTTGACAGATAAATGTCTCCAACCTGCGTTCCGAAGTGCACTGGTGACAGACCTCTGCCAATCTTTCAGCTTTAGGGGGCCAGGATGGGTCAGACAGGGCCTTATGGACAACCTAATTCCTTTCGAGGAAGGTTCATGCTTCTTCGGACTGACCCGGCGCTGGGAACCCCATCATCTGCACTGGAGGGCCTGTGGACAGGTGCAGCCGGCCAGCCACCCCTGCCTACCTGCTGCAGGCCATGCCGGTGTCCACAAGAGGGGGCCGCTGTGCCGTGTGCGAGGCTTCCCAGCTCCGATGGGGAAAAAGAGGCCTTACTCTTCAGGTCACCTTAGCCTCCTGGTCCCAGGAAGGCAGCCTGACCTCTGGGTGGTCTATCATCAAATCTTGTTATTCTTCTTAAAAAAACAAAAAGAAGAAAACTAAAAGGAAAGTACTGGTTGGGTACTTCTCACTTCCTGCCACGGCTGGCCCTCTGCTGTCCGAGCACACTGGGCCAGTGTCCCAGCGCTGAGCCTGTCCCATGCTCTGCCTGGCTTGGCCAGTGACTCGCGCAGCTCTGCTGGGTGAGGGTGGGGGCAGAGGGACTTGGTCTCCCCTAGGACTGGTCTCTGGGCCTCCCTCCGGCTCCCTACTGCTCTGAGTGACGCCCCACAGTGCGTCTCCTCCGCCCAGGAGCAGCAGTGCCCTCCCAGACAGCCGCTGGGCCTTCCCCAGGACCTGCAGAGCTCGCACTAGCCGCCACACCACCCTGCAGAAGTCTGGGTCCGGGTCCTTGCCCACAGCCTCCCTCCATCCCCAGCCCCACGGGGTGCGCTGGTGAGCAGCTCCCTGCATCAGTCTGCGTCTGTGGCTGGAACGAGTACCCCAGGAAAACCGGCTCCTACAGAAGGTCCGTGGGGCTCACGATCTTGAAGGTTTCATCCATCGCCGACTGGCCGCGTGGCTCTGGGCCTCGCTCAGGGCCAGGCAGCACGTCGTGGCAGGAGCAGGTGGTGGAGCAGAGGAAGTTCATGGCCGGGAATGAAGTCAGGGACCCGAGTCCTGCAGTTCACTGGGGGGTACCAGGTGATTGACCCGGAGGCCCCAGCTCATGAAGCCCCCACCACTCCCCATGGGGCCCAGCTGGGGCCAAGACTTCAACATGTCCCTTTGGGGGACAATGCAGATCCAACCATGGCGGTGTCCCTGGCCCTGTGCCGTCACCCTTCCACAGTGTCATGCCTCCTCAACTCACCCTCATATCAAGCCCGAGTCAAGACCTGGAGGGCTGTCTCTCACCACTCTGCTGATGCCCAGAGAGGGGTCACAGCTCCCCGCAGCCCACCTGGAGGGCCGGTCTTCCCGCCACCTGCCGGGTACACACGGGGAGGCACCGGGTTTGGAGGCACCCTGGCACCGCCCTCTGCCCTGACCCATGACCCTGCACTCGGAGTCGGAGTCACCTCTGTGGGGTGGGGAGCATGCAGGCGCACTGACTGTCCCTTCTCATTCCTCCTGCGGACCCTCCACCAGCCCCCGTCCCAAAATCCAGACCAAGGAAGCCAGAAAAATGCAAGCACTGTGCCCCTTGGTGGCCTGCTGAGCGGCGACCCCACTGGCCTTTCTGAAGTCCCCCTGCCTGGCAGCCGCCCTGGCTCTCAAGCCCGATGCCTCTGGCAACACAAAACTGGGCTGAGAGGAGGCGCCCCCAGGTCACCCCTCTGGGTGGGCACACAGGCAGCTGCTGGCAGTGAGCCGCCCACGGTGCCCAGCAGCCCTGGACAGTGGCAAGTAGGGAGGAGAGGCTGGGGGGACTGAAGAGGAGGAGGGAGGCCCACAGGTCCCTCTGAAAACAAAGGGCCCTGGGCAAGGGTACCTCCACGCTGGCAAAGACAGCCCCTCCTCAGAGGCCCTGAACCAAGGAATCCTGCTGGTTATGGCATCCAGAAACACCCTCCTCAGCGTCCTCCCTGGGAAGCATAATCCCCAAATATTTTGCTGGAATTCCTTCTGACCAAGTCTTCCCTCCTCTCCCAGAATGCCCCTGGCCACGGTGGAACTGCTGTGATCTTGGGCGCGCCCTGGTGGCCGATGGCTGCAAAGGCCTGAGGGCAGCTCCCTCACCCGCAGCCCAGGTGGGTGCAGGGCTCTCTGAACCTGGAGGTTGCCCGAAGCCTTTGCTCTTCCCCCTGACTTTTCCCGCAGCTCGTTCTCCATCTTGCCCCTGCCCTAGGTGACCCTGCATCTGATGCCTTTCCATTTTAAGGCTACCTTCTTAGCCCTGCTGAGCTTGGACCCCAAGCCACAGGGAGCTGCTGGGTGAACGGAAGGGGATGCGTTAACTGGAGGGGTAGGATGGGCAGGGAGCTGGAAGGGGCTCTCCACAGCTCTCAGACTTCAGAGGCCTGGAAGAAGACCAGCCCTCAGGGCAAGCAGAGACCCTGGCAGCTGACCCCAGGCTGGGCGATGGCCCAAGGCTGGAAAGGCAACTGGTGGACCTGCCCCGCCCACTCCTCTCGGGAGCTCTGAAGAGGTGTGCACCTGGCCAACACGCCCACCCTGGTGGTCAGGGTTGGAAGCCCTTCTTTTCAGCCCCCTTCCCAGAAATTTCAAAGAGATGCCAGGACCTCTCGGCACATCTTGACTCTGGCCATCAAACACCCTGTGCGCTGTGCGAGGGGCAGGGTCAGGGCTCAAGGTGGGACGCAGGGGGGATGGCGGGGTGACACTCCTCCGAGACTGCTCACAAGGAGGGCTCCTGGAAGCCTGGTGTGGGGTGCGCACCTCTGCTCGGGGAGCCATGCGCGGCCCCCACACCAGCCCTGGCCCCTTCCTGTCTTCTCTCTTCCTGTTCTCTCTTTTCCTCTTCCTTTTTCTTCTGTCTCTTCTCCCTCCTTCTCCTCTTCATTCTTTTTCTTTCTTTTCTTCCTCCTCCTTCCTCTTCCTCTTATTCCCCTCCTCCTCTTCCTCTTCCTCCTCTTCCTTTCCTTCCTCCTCATCTCTCTCTCTCTCTCTCTCTCTCTCACTGATCACAGCAGGAATCGAGGTACAGGTGACATTTCTGCTTCCCAGTGAACACCAACCACCCCTTTAAGTCAGCTGGATGGAAAGGCAAGGTAAACGTCCTCACTCGTCTTGGCCTACCTTAAAGACTGGGTCCTCGAAACGTAAATATGAGGTCCATTGCCATCTGGAACTTTTGCTACTCCAAACCTGAGCTCCATATCAGCTCAACCACGGCCCTGAGCATGTCTCCTGTCTTTCCTTTTTAAATGGGGTACCTATTTCCTTTGACAGACTCTTGAAAGCCATCCCACCGCACGGCCCTTGCGGCTCTCACCTGTCTTTCTGGTCCCCTGCATACCTCCTGCCTGTGCATTGACTGTTCTAGATTGCCTTCAATCTCAGCCTTAAAGTGAAGGACACAGAAGACAAGCCCAGGCCTTCCACCTCCCTTTCCGCTGTCTTCGTACTCAGCTTCTCTTCTGGGCGTGGACTGCTATCAGACTCGCTCCTTGGCCGTGAAGAGCTGATCTTCTGTCCTGTGCTAGAAGACAGGGTCTTGGAGAGCAGGGCCAATTGGCTTGTGCTGTTTCCATGGTGCCCAAAGTGCACAGTCATGATTTAACTGCAAATGCAAGTGCTTCTCTTCCTTTCACCAACGCAAGTGAGCAAAGACAGACAACCGCACAAGCACAAAGCGCAGGCCCTCCCACGCAGACTCACTGGAGACAGCCACGGGGTGGGGACCACAGACTGAGGAGGTTTTACGGGTGCACTTCCCTTAGGCTCCATCTCAGGGACACTCGGCTTGCTCCACACCCAGCTATTTGATATCACAGTTCCTCGTGATTCCGTTCAATGGCCAAGAGGAGGCACGACCCCAGAAGTAATCATAGAGTCCTTCAAGCAGCAGCAGCATTCAGAGAGCAAAAACAGCCCAAAGCTGGAAATTGGCGGAGATCCAGTTATTTAGCTAAACAAGAAAAAAGCACTTCTCTCATGGCCCATCAACCACAGAGACTCAGCCGCCCCAGCGCGGGGAGCAGAGGAGCACACACAGCCCGGGAGCTGCCCGACCACGGCACTTCTGCGCTTGCGTGCAGAACAGGCCCACTCCCATGCACTCCCAGGATGGCACACACTGGCACTGCGTCCCCAATGCAGACTCCAAGGCACCAAGAGTGCAGTCATGAAGAGGGGACGGCAAAGAATGGCCACCAACGCTCAGACAACAACTAGGCTAGAAATGCACAGTCAGTTAAAGGAGGTGACACTGGGGAACAGAGGTGGCGGCGAGGAGAGGGAGGTCAAGTACGTCGACCACAAAAGGCACAGAGCAGGGGCATCAGTGAGGGACCTGACGGTGCTGATACCCAGCTGGACAGATCAATAACCAGGGACATCTGTAGGTCACCCTGCCCCCAAAAGCTTCCCGATTCATCCAGCCAGAGGGCACGATGAACATTCTGCCTAAGACTGGTTTTTCCCTCTGGGTCTCACTGATAGCCGGGCAGGCAGGTCTCCACAATCATTCCCATTCACACGTTGGACTGAGTTCCCCCAGTCCACAGTGTGACCCCAAAGCCCCATGCAAGTCAGGACTCCCACTTGCACGAGCCCCAAGCCTCAGGCTGACCTCAAGCTGAGCACCGCCGGCTGACCCCCCAGAACACATCTCTGACTCCTGCCTCAACCCAGCCACCCCACGGTTTCCCAGGGCACTGGGGGAGCGCCTCTCTGGTCAGAGCCAGGACGTCCATCTACCTTCCCACCATCTGTGCCCAGGGGAGCAAAAACCTGTCCATGAACACTCAAAAGTCTGGGTTGCCTACTGATGCCCATATGTACCCCAATGTGGGAACTGCGCTTCCCTAGAAGTTGTGTTCCCTTGTCAAAGGCCAGTCCCCTGAAGAAACAGAACTTGGTGTCATTGCCTGCCCCGAGGCGGAGGGCCTTGGTGCTCCAACCTGCTTCTCCATTGCAGGTGGCAGAGTTAAGGCTGGAGAGAGACTCTTGCTCTCCAGAGGGCTGCTAACGGCACTGTGGTCACCCAACAGCCATGATAGGAGCTTTCACAGACAGAGCCAAGTGACACCTGTACCTAGCCTTCACTTGGGGATCAGGACCCGGGTTTGTCCAGCATTTTCTTGGGATACAGATCACACAAGGTTAACAGTGGAGCAGCTTTTGGCAACTTAGAGTGAATTTTCTCTCTTCCATTTACTTTTCCGCAAGCACAGATTTTCCCTATCTATGCATTATTATCAGAAAAAAAAACTGTCTTTAATAAAAATGAATAAATAGATTTCAGGTTTGCCCAGTACTGATTTCTCTGTTTTGAAGTTTAAAGATATTTAACCGTCTATTCCAAGTTTATATTTAGTCACCCTGAAGAGGCACAGTTCAGCTCCAAGGGGGTCTGCCCTGACTTGTCCGCCACAGGCAGGGGTAGCACGTCTGTTCCCTGCCTGACTGGTTGTTGGTCACTTGCAGGGTCAGAACCCACAGGCCTTAGACCTAGATTGTTCCCTCCATGAAGCTCCCAATGGAAATTTTACAAATTGCTATTTTCCTCCACCCTGGGAGACACACAGAGGCCAACCCAGCAGTGTTGGCTGAGCAGGTGAGAAACCCCAGCGGCTGGGGCTGAACCCCAAGGGGTTTCTCAGTTACCGGAAGCACTGACCTGGGTTTGTGTTCTCTCCTCCAGGGCTGATCCCTGGGGCTGTGATCACTCACAGATTCTCCACAGTCCCTCCCCAGCCCTCAGGGAAGATCCCCCACCCCACCCACTAAACCAGTGGCCTCCACAACCCACCCCCCTGCCACCCTGGTTCTGTGGCCTGCAGTTCAGCAGTCAGATGACCATCCAGCACTGTCTGTGGTCCTGATTCGTGCTGCCCAGTGGGCTGCAGGGTTGCTCAGCACCAGCCCCTGCCCTGAAGCAGCTGCTGACTGCAGGGGTGGGTGCCCTGGGGGAGGAGAGCCCAGGAAAGCAGAGATTTCAGCAGACACAGTGGGTGTTTCCATGTAGACACATGGGTGGTGGGAGCACAGGGCCCTGCTCTAGGCCTCAATCAGGTGTGCTTCCCAAGGGGCCCTCAGAGGGGTGGTCATGGTATCCTTGACAGGTACCTCGTCCCAGACCCTTCTCCTTGGAATTATCTGGGTTTTCCTCTGTCCTGCATGCATGAATTGAGCTTCATTTGAAAAGCCTATTCAGCAAGGATGTTAGTTTAGTTTGTTTGTTTGTTTTTTCCCTGCTGTGTACATTGTTACTTTTTAAAACCTAAGACAACTTTGCAGGTCCACCCTAGTGCACAGATAAGCAATGGAAAACACCGTGGTAAGAGGGTATTAAGACATGGGAACAAGTAAGCCCATTCTCACCATAAGCCAGGACGGTTTTGCAAAGATGCCTGAGAAGAAAACAGCCTGCTGTGTCCCCGCGGTTATCTTTAAAGTCGGGCTTGAGCAGGACATACCCATATGAACCTTTTCATAGTTAATGAGTGTCAAAGTTCCTCCCAGGCTTACAGCAAGTGTTCCTGTATCCCACCCCAAACCAGTAGGTGAGGTCTTGCTCACTTGGGGAGGAGGAAGCAGGCTGGGTGGCGTCAGCTGGCACTAGGCTGCCTGCCCGTGGGCCACCGGGTCCAGGCCCAGGCGCTGCAGCCCAGCAGCCCCCACCCCACCCCAGCCCTGAGCCGCGCAGCCGCGCCCTCCGCCGAGCGCGGGTTAGGTAATCTTCCCGGGACTGCGAGGCGCTTCCAGTGCCAAACCACAGGGAGGGACGCCGAAAGAGAGGGGCTGTCGGTGGTTGCCTTTTCTGAATTAAGAGAAAACAGGGGACTAGAGCAAGGACGAGGGCAGGGTTCAGGGGACACTGGCAAGTCACCTTGGGCAGGCCCTGGACGGCCGCCAGCACTCTCCTGGAAAGGGGAAGGCGCCGAGTGTGTGATGAGTGCTCGCTGAGCATTCGTTGCGCATGATGGATGACCGGCCTGGACGCCTTCCACACCACAAATTTGTTCTTCTGCACACCCAGGCGACCGAGGAGCCCGCGGCGGAGGGGGGGCGCGGGGCTGCTGCCCTCCCTTGCCCCCTCCTTCCCCGGCTCCTGGTCGGAGAGCCCCACCGGGGTCGCCCTCCTTCCGGTCCAAACCCAGCCGCGCAGGCAGGGATTAGTGCGGAGCGCCGGCTGCAACTAGCTGGGGCGGTCGCCCTACCTCCCCGCAGCCCGTCTCTGCCGCGCCCGGACCCGCCATCCGCCCCCGGCCAGAACCGCGTTTCCGTTCCACGGTTTTGATCAGGTCCCATCCCCACTTGAAGACGGGAGTGGGTCCCCGGGGCCTCGTATGTCAAGTCTCAATTTCTAACCGTGAGCATGAAGGGCCTCCCCCACGGCCCCCCATCTTGCCCGCAGCCTCGACGGAAGGCCAGCGTCTTCAGTGCAAGACAGGGGCCTCTGCCTCCCGCGCCGACCCTTGGCCGTTCTTCCAGTACCTACTGAGCATCTCTGTGTGTGTCAGGCTGCAGTAATGCGGGTAGGACTCACCTCACAGACCACAGGTGAGGAAGATGGTCACTTCCCGGAAGCCACACAACTGCAGTTAAAGTTGAGCACAACTGCAAGAAGGAACGGGAAACTGAAAGGGGAGGTCCCAAAATGGTGTCCCTGGACAGCCAGGGGCAGGATCAGGAGAACTCTACTGAGTGGCACCTTGAGGCAGTTTCCAACAATTCTGACCAGGAATTAGCTTTTATAATAAAAAGCAAACTATTTTATGACATTGTCATTTTTTTTTCTGATTACAAAGCAATGCCATTTCTTTTAAGAAATTTTTGGAACTACAGAAGGCATTAGCAATAAAAATGTCCACAATCCCAATATTAGCATCTCGCAAACACCGACATTTTACTATTCTGCACCCAACCACTGTCTCATTTTTTTCATAAATTGGGCTCACCTTGTACACCGGATATTATGACCTGTTTTACTTAACGTAGTTCTCCATGACGTTGAAGTGTCCTGAAACATCACTTTGCATGTCTCCATAATACTTGACAAAATGGACCACCATTGGCTCAATCAATCCTTATTCATTTATAAAGGGCCATACATGTCCCTAAGAGCAAAGAAATTGTGGAGGTGGGAACTAGTCCCTCCAATCACTGCATGTAAGTCTTGGGTATTCCGGTTGCTGGGGATAACGTTAGGCAAACTTGCTAAGTTCTCCTGGGTCTCGTTGCTCTCACACATAGATAAGGTGACAAGGTCTTCCCTATGGGATTATTGTGAGAAAAACAGAGCAGTGACCTGTATAAATCCTTTGGTCATATCTGCCACATAGACCTCAATATCGGTTCCTGGGAGCACACCCCCAGAACTTCTGGTAGAGGGGTCTGACCATTTTTAAGTCTGGTAAGTCACACTGGTGTGTTGTTCTATAAAGAATGCATACATTCTGTTTGTGAGAGGAGGCACGGGAGAAGACATCTAAAAAGGCAGGTTCCGGGCCAGGGCTGTGGCTCAGTGGAGAGCACTTGCCTAGCATGCGTGAGGCACTGGGTTCCAACCCCGGCACCACATACAAAATAAATAAAATAAAGGTATTGTGTCCATCTGGAACTAAAAGAAAAAAATGAAAAAAATAAAAGGGTAATTTTATTTATTTATTTATTAATTTATTCATTCATTTATTTATTTTTGTGGTTCTGGGGATGGAACCCTGAGCCTTGTGCAGACTGGGCAAGCCCTCTACCAACTGAGCTATATCGCCAGCCCTAATAAGGCAGACTCTTGAGCCCGGGGCTCCAGGCGCCAGCAGGCTCCTTCACAGGGAGATGTGGATGGCAGGAGGGTGCTGTGCCCTGTTAGGGCTGCTCACCTGCCTCCCTGGGAATCCTCCCCCTGCACCTTCCCAGATGGGTCCTCCTCCTCACTCCAGGGCTCCTCCCTTTGGGTCCTTCTCTTCAGGGACCCTTCCCTCGGTGCTGCGTGAGACCTCGGCAGTCCCTTCATGTGTCACACCAACTCCTCCTCAGATTGTCAACCTCCGAGCCCAGGGCCAGGCCAGCTCAGGAAAATGAAATGCTTTTGATCATTCAGTCACCCTAGCACTGTCTGTGAGTAGGTCAGAAATGTCCGGGGAGTTCTGAGACATGGGAAAC